ACGGGGGGCCAGGCACTGCCCAGGGTGGCCACCACGGGGCTGTCCCGGCCTGCCCTGCCAAGTGCCCTCACGCAGGGGGTCAAACAGAAACCTCAGGTGAGAAACCACTGCCTGCTCGGGACACCCAGGTTTTATGAGTACATGAAATCTAAAATTTATGCCACTGAAATGGGGTGGCTCTGTTCTTACAGCTGCTCCATCCCAAATTCCCCCAGAACCGTGACGCTGTACATCAGACAACAGCAAGTCAATAAAACACAGTGAAGCAGAAAACACCGATTCTTGTAGATGAAGAGCTTGAACAACGAAGGGAATACTTTCTGAAGATTTTTAAAAGCCTATTTCATTGAATACAAATATATAATGTCTTCCAATGCTATAGGCACACGCGCAGATAAAAGATAACTCCCTTTAAAATGAATTTGTTTTAAAGCCAAACTTAAACCATATATTGACAAGCCTACACTTATCATTTTCATATCTTACCTAAACATCATGAATTTCAGCATTTTGATCTAGATTGGAAATGTTATATTCAACAGTCAAAGGAGTAAAATGTTGGCAACAGATGAGGTGTAAAGTAATTAAATAGCATATACGCGTTTGCTTTGTGAGCTGGTCCCTGTGCTCGATGTATACTTGCTCTTCATTAATAAGATATGAATTTTCAAAATAAAGCACATTGCATTCTTCAAAAATCAACTGTCTGTCAGGGAAAACAATTTCTCCCAGATATTGTTTACAATACCAGATACCAGCCCCAGTGATTCCCAAATAACATGCTGCTTATTTATAACCATGCTATGCACAGAATTCCAGGAAGTGCATACTGCTACTCCAAAGCCAAGTTTACATATTTCTCATAGCAGAGCATTAAGTTTAATATTAAAATTCATATTTTTGTATGATAATATCATAATAATTCTGTTTCTATTACAAAGACAGCATGAAGTCCCCTGATCCCAAAGCCTGGACACATACCGCTGTGCTATATACCCATGGAACAACACAAAAAGACTTATCTGCACCAAGGAGCCTGCATTTTTTTCCAAATTTAAGTAAAAATAGCTAATGAATTTTTCATTACAGAATTTTGACTATTAATCCTCCTCCTAGCATCTACTGGAAAAACCTGGTAGCATGCGCTGCTTTTAGAGAATTAACAAATTTCACCCTTACTGTTGGCAAATACCAAGTCCTTTCCACCTCCTGCTGCAATACAGCTATTCAAACGTCAACTACTCATTAGAAAACACAGACCTATTTCTAGATCTGTTCATGCAGCTTCTAGTTCAAGAAAAACACAACTGGTGGACATGGAAAATTTGGGGGTTGGTTAGAAACTCAGCACCACCGTGGGCTGGTGCAGATGGTGGGGACCTAAGGAGATGAGTCTACAGAGTTCCCTCGGGGTGCTTCTCAACAGACACACACACAGGTGACTTACAGGCAAGTACCAAGAGATCCGATATATTCTGCAAGCAGCCATGCTCTAAGTATACCACAGGTTTATCTGATTTTAACCTGTCCTGGAATCATGAGAACTGCTGCATCTACAAGGAGTAACTGATTTTACCTGCTATTTCCAGATGCCCTGCAGCCTGGCTGTGGCTGCAGCCACACCGGTAAATGGGCTGTAAGAACCGTGCAAATTCCAGACTGATGTTAAAAGTCTTCACTTCAACCCAGACCAAGTTGTCAGGAGTAAAAAGTAAACGGAGCCTTAAAAGCAGCTGAACCAACAAAGTCTGTTTGTCTGTGGCTTAGAGTGGAACTGGAAAAGCCTCAGTTCTAGCCTGGCTCTGCCAGTAAGCTGCACTGACGGTTTAAACCAATTCCTTCCTCCGCTCCTCCTGCCATGCAGACGGTCACCTTTACCAGTACTGAGGTTCTTGGAAAACTGGATCTTCATGCAACACTTGACTATGTGC